ATGGCAGGTGAGCAAATGAAGCTTCATCTATATTTGCATCCACCCCCCAGCGTTAACATCAATGCCTCAGCTCCACTTCAGATCATCAGGCATTAGATTCTCATAGGAGAGTAAACCCTACTGTAAATTGCCCATGGAGGGATCTACATTGTACACTCCTCCTCCTCTCCCGCAGTCTGTGGAAAATTTGTCTTCCACAAAACCAGTCCCTGGTGCTCAAAAGGTTGGGGACCACTGCTCCAACAATACTCATCATTAAAATTAATCTTTAACAGGTAAGATGTCATTCTCCTTCTCCTCTGGTATCAGGATTAGTTACCATAAGGAAGACCTTGGGAATTACATTTCCTGCGACAGGATCTTTAAACAGATGTAAAAGTTCTCTCAGATGATTTCATTTGCTGCTATATATGCTATGTTAATGACCAAATCATTGCTATAGGCACTTATCCTCTAAACCCGGGGAATCCAAGTCAATTTCATTGCGGGCCACATCAGGGTTGTGTCTGACTTTGGGGGGGACTGGAGGCGTGGCCAGGGTGGGTGTGGCCAGCTCATTGTCATTCCTGTGGTGTCACGAGCACTCTGCCAGTGAGAATGGGTTTCCGAGCTCCATTTTCACTGGCAGAGGGTGGCAGGAGGCTGTGGCAGCAGAAAACAGAGCTCGGGAGCCCGTTTTCACTGGCAAAAGCACTGCGGGCTGGTCCCTTATTGTTTCCAGGGCAACCCCACAGGCCAGATGTAAGTACCCTGCAGGCTGGATATGGCCCCTGGACCTTAAGTTTGACATCCCTGCTCTAAACATTGCAGATATTAGTAATAATAATAATACAAAAGACGTATCTCAAGGAAGGAACCTCACATATTTAGGGCTACCCGTTTTTATCAAATCTCCAAATGTAATATTCCCACCATCTATCTGATATGGTACATTTCACATAAACATTATTAGTCAGAGAAGCAACAAGGTTTGGAGGGGAATAATTCTGATTTATCCGTATTATTGCTTAAAATGTAATGATAACCCCAGGTTTGCCAATAAATTCTACTAAACTCTTGTGCTACGATAAGTTTTCAAGATCAATATCCTATCAAAGCAGTTATTGATTAAATGAAATCACTCCGATAAAGAGCTAAGAGGACCAAGTATCACAACTTGCCATTGTGGTAATGGTCAATAATTTTGGCCTTTGGGCAACAGTCCCATTTCGGCATTATCTTAAATCCACTTTCCAAATGCCCATTTGTACCATAATAGCTAAGCTAAGAATTAATTGATCAGTTGCATTTACTCTGTTTCTGTAGGGATTCCAGCTTTGTGTGGGTTTTACGCAGAAAAAACTTCTCCAAAGGCATTGAAAGGCTCTAGCAGTTAAAATAATAATAAAAAAATAAAAACAATGAAGAGCAATGGCAGAGAAAAATTTGCTGAAAAGTTGTCTCCTGTCCTCCAAGTCAGTGCATTATGATGATACAGGACTGGAATCTTCAGGAGACTGATGGGATCTCCCATTCACTGTTGCCATGATTTTCTAGGGGTCAGTTTCTCTTTTCTAGTCAGTTATGACTCAAAGGTGTTATCTAAAAGGGGCAAAGCATGCTTTGAATTTACCCTTCCTTAATCTTTCTAGTATATTCCAGCCCATACCACTTTTTCCCAGTGTCTTTCACCATCCACCCCCATCTTCTTGGTACATTCTCACTGCCCCATTCACCTCCTGATCTTCAATTCCCAATGAGCCACCTTCCATCTTCAGAAAAAGCCCCAAAACTGTTTTCTACAAGCCAAATAATTGCCACTGGCATGGCAATACACAAAGGTAGTCCTCGACTTACAGCAGTTCATTTAATGAACATTCAAAGTTACAATGGCACTGAAAAATGTGACATTTTTCACAGTTATGACCTTTGCAACATTCCCATGGTCATGTGATCAAAATTCAAATGCTTGGCCATTGGTTCATAATTATGGCCATTGCAGTGTCCCTGGGTAATGTGATCACCTTTTGCGATTTTTTGGTAAGCAAAGACAATAGATAAGGCACATTCACTTAACAACCAGGTTACTAACTTACCAACTGCAATGATTAAAAATTGTGGCAAGAAAGGTTGTAAAAACGGGGTAAAATTTAAATTAAGCAACCACAAAGGCTGGATTCACACATAATGCCAGGCCATAAATAAGGTTAATATATTGTGTTCAGCCAAAAGTAAACTAACCATACTGGCTAGTGTACTTTGCCACCAAGGCTAACCACTTTTCTAACCATAGTTAGGTGGGGAATATCCCTTTCAGATATTATCCCAACGTATTGCCAGGTGTATTTAATCTTATTTACAATATTATTATGCTAACCATTGTTTGCATTGAAGAGTTGTGTTCTACAAAAATGGCAAAATTGAAGCAGACTTTAATGCAGAAGAAAAATATATATGAAGGGAAACAAATATATAAGATGCTCCCTCTTCCTTACTTAAGGTTAGGGGATTGAAAAAGCTAGGTCTGCAACCATCCACGATCTGGGTTTACTGTTTTTGGAATCTGGTTAAGTACTTATGGTACAACGTATGGAATATTAATAAAATAAACACGCGCATTTGGGCAATGTTTTTCCAGTATAAATGTACTGATCCAATATTGTCCTAATCAGGAAAAAAATATGGGCTAAAAGAATATCATATAGCACTGTGGAAAATTATTGAGCCTCTTGTGCTGTTTTTGTGTCTCATTCAGTATTTAATGTACTAAAAAAAATCTAGCACAATAAGATGATTTGCTCAGAAATGCTTCAAGGTGACTATTTCTGGTATTCTAAGTGCATGAAACTCTTCTGGGTTGCTTCGCATTACATTTGAATGAAAGGTTTGGTTTGCTCTTCTACACAGCCCATCTCAGATGGGAAACCACAAGTAAGACTAGATATCCACATTCACACCTTCGCAATGATTTGGAAGAAGCTGGTGGAAACCCTTAGGACCTCTCTCCAAGCTGCAGTGAATTAGGGGTAAAGAGGAAGACGCCCTTTCTAAAGTCACTTCTTCCCTTGCAAGGTCTTTGCTCATCTCCTTGATCATCACACAAAGTATGCCTTCTCCCTTCTGCTTCGCTATTTGATTCAGAGGAACCTCTTCCCCCCTTCTATTCAGAATGCAGCTTCACACGTATCCATCATACATGCACCCGCTCCTTTAGAAGACCACCCCCAACTAGGTGTCTTTCTACATAGATTCTTTCTCAAGCCAGGAGGGGGAATAACAGGATAATAGAGTTGGAAGGGACCCTGGAGGTTTTCTAGTCCAACCCCCAACTCAAGCAAGAAACCTGTACCATGTCAGACAAACAGTTGTCCAATCTCTTCTTAAAAACCTCCAGTTGTTGGAGCACCTACGGCTTCTGGAAACAAGTCATCCCTTTGATTGTTCTAACCTTCAGAAATTTCTCCTTAGTTCTAGATTGGTTCTTCCTTGATTAGGAGAGGGAAAGAAGTGAGCGTCAAGGAAGGTTCTGGAGTTTCTGAGTACTTTGCTTCCACCAAATGATCAAGCCTCTCTTTGTGCAGTTCCCAAGGGATCCATCTAAGGCAGGGCTGTCAAACTCCCAGCCCATAGGCTGGATACGTCATGTACTGGCCATGCCCACGCCCGGTTTAGCGAAGGGCAAAAAGGTCCCAATATGTCACATGACGGCACCATGACAATGTGAGTTTGACACCCCTGATCTAAGGGGAAGAGGGATAGAGGGCTGGATGAGGTGCTGCTGTCACTGCTGCTTAGGTGATAGCTTATAGCAGGGGTCTTCAAAGTTGACAGCTTTAAGACTTGTGGACTTCAACTCCCAGAGTTCCTCCTCCAGTCATGTTAGCTCAGGAATTCTGGGAGTTGAAGTCCACAAGTCTTCAACTTGCCAAGTTTGAAGACCCTGGGCTTATAGTTACAGGAGAGAAGATAACGTTACAATTTTCACTCCTTCCTCCTTTCCTCCACTGCAGTTTCTACTAAGGTCCTGTGAAGCAGGAAGCAAGGAGTGGAACAAGGTGAAATTCAAAGCCACTTCTATATCTGGGACTCAAACCAACTGCTTCCCCTGTTTGTCTACCACCATTCATGTTCAAACATGTCCCTTTCTTCGCTTTCTTGAGATCTCTCTTACACTTGAGAGACTTACTAAAAAAAAAAAAATCTTATTGGTAGGTTGTAGGACCAGAGACTGTAATTTTCCATTTCTGAGATCATACTCAGAAGCCCAGAAAAAGGAAGGCTGATTTAATGAACATCAGAGAGGGGGTTGAGCAGAGGTGGTATTCAGCAGGTTCTGACCAGTTCTGGAGAACCGGTAGTGGAAATTTTGAGTAGTTTGGAGAACCGGAAAAGACCACCTCTGACTGGAGAGTTTACAGTCTCCTTCCCCTGCCACGACCACCAAGGCACAACCACAGAACCGGTAGTAAAAAAAATTGAATCCCACCACTGGGGTTGAGCTTGAGTGAATCCAAAACACTTCTTCCAAATCATCTTTGAAGCTAGTCTTAGTGACCAGACCCACAGCCCCAGTGAACCTTCATGCCTGAAGATAAGCCCCTTATTTCCAGTCTAGTCCCTTAAGCAAGGGAGGGGGAATGGGAGGGAGTGGAGAATATTTCAGAACAGTCAAGATGTCAATTATGACCTCATAACCGAAGCAATGTCCCTTTTGTACAGCTATAAAAGTATCCAAAGGGCTTCTAGCGTATCACTTTTTTGACTTCCCTTCTGGACATTCCTAACGTTCCCACTTCTATTTCGCACTGGGTCTGTTTTCATGCAGAGGAAAAGATATTTGGTTGCACTGTAAGCCAAGCAAAAGGTTATGGTGGGGGAGTTGTAAATTCTGAGGCAGAGAAAAACTTCCTGATCTGAATGTCAGATCAACAAGAATGCCAACAGACTGACATGGGACAAGAAGCCGCTAAATTTCAAAACTGAGTGAGTTTTATTTATTTTTTTGAAATCGGACAACTCACTGGGATCCACGTATGCCCAAGTGGGATGGAGGGGGACATTCAGAGGGGGAGAAAAGGCCCCTGCTTTCATCCCTTCTGCTGAGGTTGCCTCTTCATAGCTTGGGGGTACGGCTGGGGCACTGGGCTGCTTTCGTTCGGCATCTCCCTGCTGCCCTTCAGAATTTGCAGGCTTGTTATTCACAGAGAGCTAGAAAAGGGACAGGAAAAAAAATAGATTAAAATTTAAAAAAAAACAAAGAATGACCATTTTTCTTGTAAATTTTACATGGAGGAGAGAATCAAAAGTAAACGAGATCCAGGGTTTGAGGTCCAGGTAATCCTCAACTTACGACCACAACTGAGCCCAGAATTTGTGAAAAATGTATTAAGTGAGTTTTGCCCCATTTTACGACGTTTCTTGCCACGTTTGTTCAGCGAGTCACCGCAAGTGTTAAATGAGTAACCTGGTTGTTAAGTGAATCTGGCTTCCCCTTTGACTTCGCTTGTCAGAATGTCACAAAAAACGATCACACAATGTGAGTCAGTTGTCAAGCGTCCAAATCAGAGGTGGGTATTCAGCAGGTCCTGACCAGTTCTAGAGAACCAGAAGCGGAAATTTTGAGTAGTTCAGAGAACCGGCAAATCCCACCTCTGACTGGAGATTTTTACAGTCTCCTTCCCCTGCCACGCCCACCGAGCCATGCCCACAGAACCTGTAGTAAAAAAAAAATTGAATCCCACCACAGGTCCAAATGTAAATCACATGATCATGGGGGAGGGGGGGAATGCTGCAACAGTCATAAGTGTGAAAAATGGTCGTGTCAGTTTTTCAGTGCCATTGTAATTTCAAACCATCACTAAATGAACCGTTGTAAGTCGAGGAATACCCATGTATGTGTAGGTAAATTCTCTACAAGCCTCCTAGCCTGGAAAAAATGCAGGGGAGGGACGCATGATCAGAAGCTTTTCCCCCTGTTTTTCTGACCTGGTCTGGTTTTCCCTGCCCGCTTTATTTATTTAGCGTATAGCACGTGTTAGCCAGGGATGACCGAGGTGGCTGGCTGCCCCTGTGAGAGGAATTTTTTCAGGCAGTGTTATCGTTACCCACGGGACATCCGAATGCTGGTAGGCATTCGGGGGAGGCTCCTTTCTTGTCCCAACATAGTTTATTCGCTCACAGGAATCAAATTCACCGAACTGGCCAACCTCAATGGTACGCAGGCCCAGCGTCTTACCACGTGAGCCACCATGGTCCCTTTCCCTGACCACTGAGAACGGTCAGCTGACTGATCGATCATACATCTTACAAGGAGGTTTACAATAATGATCCTTGTGAATGGGGCAACCTTAATGCCCGGAATGAATTCTGCAAGAATATCCGGTGCAGTGTTGTATTAATGTATCTATATTGCATCAGGCATTTCTGCAGAATTGGCTACGGGCATTAAGGCTGCCCCATTCTCAAGACAAGACATAGGTACGTTATTTGGTGTTCAGTGATGCTTTCCTGGCTTAGAGCTATTCAGACCTATTGCTTCTGGAGCTGTGACACTTGGGAAACGTCTCCTGCAGGACAAGTTCTAGGTTCTCGCTCTCCTCTCCATTTCTGTTTTGTTTTGCTTTGTTGCTGATTATTTTAAAGAAAATCCTCCGGTGCATGGAAAATATATCAAATCAACTAGGGTAGTAATGGACAAAAACGTTTCACAATGGACAGCAGCTGCCGTATGTTTGGATCTCAAGCAAATGACTTTCCAAGTCTGAACTGGACTTGTAATTTTAGCTTCAAACAGGAAACAAACCTAAATTCAAGGTACCTCCAAAGGAGAAGATTACATTGAAATAATAACCCTGTTTCCATTGCTCAGATAATCTGGAATGACTATCCCATTTTAAAGATAATTTACTTATACATACATATAAAAACTTGACTTCTTTCAACTAAATACATTATTTCATCTACTGCTGACAACACATCACTATGAACAGCTACTGACTGAAACCAAATATAGATATTTAGCTTCTTTCTCACTACTACACTGTACGTTCTGGAAAAAAAACTTTTGATAAGGTTGCTTGTCAATTATTTCAAGAGCCTTACTCTTAGCCAATAGCAACTGAATAAAGGCACATGAATCATGAAACTTGTAATTTATTTTATCTGTTAGATATAATTAATGTCTTTCTTCAAGAAGCTCCTGATGCTTTTATCAATGGAAGGCAGAACCTGGTATATATGAGTCTCCAAATAATGACTCCCAAATATCAAAATATGTATGGGTACTTCTTTTAATCTAAAATTATATTGAAATATACCACATATGGATAAGCCTATCTCTAGACAAGACATCTCTGGACTTTTTAACCAAAGTACCATTTGAAACACACCAGTCATGGATAAACTGACCCTCAAAAATGTTATATTTAAATTTTCACAATTGGCTTATCTTTCAGAGATAATGAATCTGTCATGCTTCAAAGAAAAATGTCAGCCTCCAAGATTGTTTTAATTTCTCCCCACCCACCCCCCAAAAGCCCCCAAACCCACCTCTCAATCATAGACACTATTTTAGGAAACAAAATGATGGGAAACACCAGCCCAGGGCTTTCTTTGAAAAAAAAATGTGTTCAGGCCAAGAAAATAACAAAAGAAGGGGCAGTATGGAAGATTGTGCAAGAGTAGCTGGGATAGGGCAGTAATAGCTAAATTTTTCCTCGTTGCATGCCAAAAGTGCGTGCACCTCCACCCATAATGTAATGTTTGTGCACTCCCCCATGCATGCGCATGCGATCAGGGGTGGGATTCAAAATTTTTAACAACTGGTTCTGTGGGCGTGGCTTAGTTGGTGGGTGTGGCTTGGTGGTCATGTTATTGGCTGGGCATGGCCAACTCAATATCACTCACATCAAGGCATGCATCTCCTCGCCAGGCCTCCTCGCCTGTGGGGATGCTGCAACAGTCGTAAGTGTGAAAAATGGCCATAAGTCACTTTTTTCAGTGCCATTCTAATTTTGAATGGTCACTCCACACAAGCAAAGTACCAGTAAAGGAGGGGAAAAGAAACTCCAGAGAAGTTCCTGAGACAGGAATTCTAGTCCTGCCAAGAATGTAATAAGGGTTAACGGAAAGGCAGTTTCTGTAAGCAACACCAGAATGTTTCCTTCCTGCTTTCCTTACAGGATTAGGCCAGTAATTTCTTCTAACAACTGGTTCTCCAAACTGCTTAGAATGTTAACAACCAGTTCTAGTGAATAGGTGTGAATTGGTAGAATCCCAGCCCGGCATGCGACCCTGTGCGCACATGACCCCTGTGTGCCATGCGCCTCTGCACATGTGTGCACAGCCCCACCCCCTGCGCATGCACACGTGTCTCCCCCCACGCATATGTGGCAGATACCCAACAATCAGCTGTTTGGTGGGGGGCACATGCGCATGCGCAGTACAGCTGTTCCAGGTGATCTCTCGCATGCCAGCAAAAATGGCTCTGTGTGCCACTTGCAGCTCGCGTGCCATAGGTTCACCATTACGGGGATAGGGTTTACAGAGGGTATCTTATATTCTAGAAAACGGCAGCTTTGCAGGTGTATATATCTCCAAAGGCAGTTATTTTGTGATTAAATGAGCTTCCCAGACATCTATTCTACTATTACATTAATATCAGAATAATACTGCTGTTGACATTTTTCATTTAATTTGTGAAAGTGCTCATATTTAAATTTCCTGAGAGCCTTAAAAAGCTGAACAGATTGAGTAAAATCCAATGTTCTGTTGCCATAAAGTCATAAGAGTATTTTCTTTTATTCCTCCTTTCAGAAAGCCAACAGAAACCAAGAGAATGTCAGAATGTGTCTTATAGTTTGGCCCCAAAAGAGGAAACAATGGCTTTCTACATGTATTTGAAGAATTCCCAGTTTAGTTAAGGATGTTGGGAGTTACAGCTGAACAAAACCTAGTGGGAAGCACACAAATTACCCAATTCTTCAGCCAGTTCAAAAAAGATCCTCGGATAGGAAAGCCACATTCCCATATCTTTCTCAAAATATAGACAGTACTCCTTGACATCTCCACTTTTTTTTAAACTGATTCAAATGAGAAGTCCTGTTAACCTCAATCAGGCTTCAATCCTAGTTAGTCTGCCTAAAGTTGTACGCTTGTCTTTCAGTTTAGGTTAAGTCACTACTTGTCCATCACTTAGCAGCCGCATAAAGACAAACAAAATAAATCGAAAGCTCTTTTAAGTGAATAAAGCCTCCCGGTAGCCACTTGCAGCTATGAAATGATAAATTCCATACAGGTTATCAAAATTAAACACGTTTTAACTGAACAAGCTGAGGCAATCAGTAAATATTCAGAATCAGAAATGCAACAAGAGGAGAGCCCAGAACTGCGTCATTGTGGTGCTGCTGAGACAGGGATGACCTAATGCAAAGGAACAAGCTCTTGGACACACAAACATACACACACATACCCTGGTGCTCACCAGGCTCACAATAACCACATTTTCCAGTCAGCAGATCCTTCAGAGATTGTAGTTCCATAATATCTGGAGGGTCTCGGGTGGCTAAAAGGAGACTTGGAAAGTGGGAATAGGGGAGAAGAATGAATAGGGATTGTTCCCCCAAAACTCTCTCCAGCCAAAATGACCTGCTGTTCTTCGGTGAACACGCTCTAACATTTTGTACCTGTCCTAAATGCCACCGGGTAGCCACAGGAATGCAATTTGAATTCACAATTTCAGCATCCCCCAGTCACATTCAGTTGCCCAAGCCAAAGTTACATACCTAATTCCTCCTCTACACATTATGATGCTAAGTAATTTTACTGAATTGTTGATTTGATAACCTAATCATTTGAATTATTTATTTTTAAAAGAAGAGAAGGATATATTAAATTGGACATCTGCAAAGCGGTACATATCTAGCCCGAAGATTGAAAACAATTATAGGAAAGAAAGAAAGAAAACACATAATTCCAAAAATGGATGTTTGCTGCTGAATCCATGATCTCCGGCTCTCTGAGTAAAGACGTATGCATCTTCCTGAATTATAGATTTTGGATTTAGGACCCGATGCGTGGTCCTTGCGACAAATCCGAGTGACAAAGTTGAGGCTCCAGATAAAAGAGCACATATAACTTGCAACCATTTAGACCATTATAAAACACACCATTCGTATTATAATTTGCCCTATCAGGGGCTAAAACTCAACAGATCTTCAATTAGATGCTCTTGCTATGTTGCCATGGCAACAGATTTCTCAATACTGGGGGAGAACCAAAGCAAGCATGGAGAAATTTGCAACTCTTATGGATTCAGAAGTCATTCCCTCCCCTCCTTTCCTTGCTTGGGGAAATAAAGATGCTCTATAAGGTTTATGAGCAGCCTAGATTAATTTTTCTAGGGCGTCTGTGAAACTTAATCTTGATGGGAAGGGAAACAGGGCAATCAGCCCTGTACGAATCGAATAATAAAAATATCTTGTCTATCTGTACACACTGAGAAAGCAGATAGCTTACAAGCCCTGGAGATAAAGAGGGAGATGGGAAATGGATAAATTGAATACAAAGGTCATTCAGCCACGTCCTGGTACAGTTTGAACCTACCTTCCCCTGTGTCATCTTTTCCCCTTAAGCGACGCTCCTCGCTCGGCTCAGGATAATGCTCCTTTAGAGAGGGGAGGAATGGAGGCGATCCAATTCAGTCTCCTCTTTTAGTGGCCAGCTGGAGTAGGATTTGCTCTCTTGGGCAGGCGCTGCTTCTGCCTCTGCCGCAGCCTGCGAGGATGCTCCTACGTTCCAGCAACATCTAGAGCGTATCTCCCCTCTGATGGAGCTGGGGCGATACCATTGTCCAGCTTTTGAATGGGGGTGGGGTGGGGGGATGATACTGAGGAGAGCAGGCTCAGCCAAGGAAGAAATAGGAATTAAAGTGGTGGTTGTTGTTGTTGTTGTTGTTATTATTATTATTATTTTAAAAGGCTTTTTCTGGGCCCGATTGTACAGAATCGCAGTGCAAAGGGAGAACCTGGTGGATGCCAGGATGCAAGAGAAAGTCGAGGTTCAGCATTTTGCAGTGGGAACAGGAGGGGAGGAGGCAGTGATGCAGGGAGAGAGATGAAATGAGATGCACTCGAGAGGCACACCACTTTCCTGTGTTACTAACAGCAGCCTGGGGAGCAATTGGCAGCACAGCCCGGGGACTATTAGATTTCTCTGGTACATGAAAAGCTTTGCTCATGAGAGACAGAGGGAGATCCCTGTTGCTCTGCTCAGTTCAGTAAATGTCTCCCCCTTTCTCTTTCTCTCTCAGAGATCCTTTAGAGCCCTTTTTTAAACGGCCATATTCATCTTCTTTTATTTGTAAAATCATAGGTCAACCGCTTTGCGGCCTACATTCATCACCAACTCCTTTCAGGCAACCCACACTGTGACTTGTTGCCAATCCCATAAAGTACAATGCTTATTTTATTTATACAATTTTAATGGAAGCCCATCTCAGGGTGGTGTGCAAGCGTTAGAAACACAAAACCATGACAAACAACACACACACATACACCGGCCTACATGGATAAGCAATAACCGCACTCACCAAAAAAAAACAACCCCAAACAACCCCAAAGCAAAACAAAAACAAAAACAAAACCCACCACATCATACTTCCTCAACAACAGCAGAGCTCATCTAGCCTCCTGAGCCAAACCTCTATGGAAACAGCTAAGTGTTTGATGCCTCTGAATCTCCAGGAGAATGCTGTTCCATAGAACAGACACTGTACTGCCACTGAGAAGATGCAACTCCAAGGTGCAACAAGATGACACTATGTGTTAGAAGGGATCCAGAGGATGTCCGGTCTGCTAGATCTGGTGGATCAAGCTAAAAGGATAGGAGAAAGGCAGTACTGCAAAGTAGCCTGGCCTTCACCATGGATTTGTTATGCTTGTTCTTTCACTGTGAGCCTTCACCACCCAGTAATCCACCATCCAACAAGAGAAAGACCAGTATGCCACTCCCCTTTCAAGGTCTGGCCCTATTCTTGAGTGTTTGTTAACTAAATCACTGGGATTATTTGAATTCTATACAGGTAGTCCTCAACGTACAACCACAATTCAGCCCCAAATTTATCTTGTTATGTGAGAAATTTGTCCGGTGGGCTTTGCCCCATTTTACGAATTTTCTTGCCACATTTGTTAAGTGAATCACTACAGCTGTTAAGTTAGTCATATGGCTATTAAGTGAATCTGGGGATGCTACAACTGTCATAAGTGTGAAAAATGGCCATGTCCTTTTTTTCAGGGCTGTTGTAACCTTGCATGGTTATTAAATGAACTGTTGTATGCCAGTGTCTTCCAACAGGATATCCACCAGATGTGATTGATTTCAGTTCCCATAAACGTGGGCAAGCATTGCTGTTCTATCTCAGGCAATACACTGTTAGACAATTTCTCCTTCTCCAGTTTTATGTATGTGCTTTGTTAATAATACGATCTGTTGTTCTGGCCTCTTCAAGATCTTTTTTTTTTTTTTGGTCTCATCTTTTTCTTCCATTTCCCTGGTGCATGTCATCTTGTTTGAAAGCTGTGTTTTATTTACATTTATACAGAGATCTTATCGGGTAGCTACGCACTGAGTCTTTATGTCACTCAAACAACTGCAGCACAAACAATATAAGAGGACATGTGAACACAAAATGACATAAGGAGGGAATCTAAAGAGTGACATATAACAGTTTGCAAGCATTCAAATTCTTCAGATAACAAAGCAAACAAATTAATGAGGCAAAGATACAAACCACTGAGGCCAAAGACAATGGAATTTTAGATAGATGGTCACATTATCATTTTTGAGGGTAGTGTGATGATTAACCAATGGGTACGTATTTGGGGATTAAACAAACAAACAATGGATATTTGCCATTTTTTGAAATTTTAACATCTGGCTGTTGTTCAGATCTGCCTCTAATTGGAGGCACTGCAAAATTGTCACCAATATTGCAATTAAAATTAATTATGTAGTCCTGGCTGATATCAAGCTGATATCTGTAATCAACTAGATTACATAAAGTGGAAACTTCACCCACACTAGGCTATTCTCTAGCAATGTATTCTATCTGGGGCTTCCTTGGGAAACTACTCATAAGCTGCAATTGGTACAGAATACAGTCCTACCCTCACCCACTCTTATTGTTAGGTAATAGCCATTACAGCTATGTGACACCTAAAGTATTGGGATTCCCTTAGATTTCTGTGTGTAATTCAAAGTGTTCTGTTGATCTTTAAAGCTCTTGGTAACTTAATCCCAGGGAACTTGCTGACATGCTTCCTCCAGTCAGAACAACCCATTCAATATTCCCATTCCACCGCTGAAGACTGAGAGTTCTTCAGGAGATTTGGAAGTGGGGTTCTTCTGTGATGGTTTTCCCCTTTCTCAACTGGTATATTCCCTCTGGAAGTTATCTCAACCTTGCCATCCTTATGAAAAGCTGTCAAAGTAAAGAAGAAAGGGGGATCAAAAGGAAGGTTAATGCCGCCTTTTCAAATTCCAACTTTCCCATCAAAAACATGCATATTGCTATTGCCTTTGAATGTCACTGATGGCTGTTTCTTTCTCTTTTGGTCTTATCTCTTCCTTCCAGGAAAGCTTTCCTGTGTTGTAAGGCCTTTGTGTAAAATTAAATAGGACAAGAGCACTTCTTTATCAGGCTATTAGATGAAAAGCCAGCTTGTGTTCCTAAAGTGTTCCTTTTAAAGCAGTAATTTAATACAGGGCTGAGAATGACTGGCCCAAAGTCACCCAACTGGCTTTTGTGACTAAGGAAGGACTAGAACTTGTAATCTCCCAGCTTCTAGACCAGCACCTGTTTTTTGTTTTTTTTACCAAACTAGTCTTGGGAATTAGAAATACAAAAGTCAATTTGTGAATCCTTGTTCCTCTGAAGATCTTTTCAAGAGATTGGGGGTAGGGCAATCTCACCTGATCCTCTATTTTTATTCCAAAACTTGTGTTGCAAATTAAGCTACTAGAACCTTGGTGGTACAGTATTGTAGAAAGCCAGCAGTCCCCTCCCAAAAGAATGAAATATTTTGAAAAATACTAAAAAGGCAGAATATTATATTTCCCTGGATGAGAAATGGAGAAACATGTCTTTTTTAGAGGGAGAAAGCAACCCCCACTTTCCTTAATAGCTCACATTAGATGTCAGCGCAAGAGATAAAGAGCTTATTGATAACTAGATAGCTCTATTCATAAGCATATACCCTCACTCAAGATCTAACACAGGGCAAGGCCATTAAGCCACAATAGGAATTGCCCAACACCCTTTAAGAAAAGCTCCTTAACCCTCAGAAACCTCAACCAACCTTAGCTCAGACAAAAACCTAGGATTTGTATTTTGCCTATAGACCCAGCTATGACCCCTACATGACCCCTACATGGCCCCATGGGGTTCTGACAACAGTCAATAGAATACATGTTCTTGCACAGGAACAGGAAGCTCAAGTGCAAAACCCAAGAGAAGGTATAAATACCCCCCACTCTCAACTCCATGTGGTCAGCTGCCCAGAACCTATGTGGTTCTGCTTCATCATTAAACCTTCTTTCCAATCAGCCTCCATGTTTCCACAGTCTTCCTCCCGCCTTGGAACTGAATCAGATGGATATTTCTTCCCACAGTGCTTAGAATGAAGTACTGCAGGCAAACTCACTGCCCACATCCTGGAGTTTCATCCTGACCAGCTCAAGGTTGATTCAACCTTCCACCCTTCCAAGGTCAATAAAATGGGGAGTCAGATTGTTGGGGGCAATATGCTGATTCTGCAAATCACTTAGGGAAGGCTGTAAAACACTATGAATCAGTATATAAATGCTATTGCTTCAGAGACAGAGAATGCACGTATGAGCAATTTGCAGGCCATCTAGAGGCACTACCACTACTACCAAATATACCCCTGCTGTTTTTGAAGCCTAATTATAAGCCCTGATGCTATCCAACAGCAGGATCAGGCTCCTGCCACAGCCCATTAAACAGCTGCTTGATTGGACTGATTCTTAAATGGAGAAAGTATTTTATTTCACAGCCCAGAACAATCAGAGCATCACCATGAGAATGGGGAAGGTGAGAAGAGTGACACTTTTTAAAATCCTCACATCATTAGATAGGAGGAAGGATGCGTGTGTTAGCGTGATGAGTGGATTGATGCACCAATTCTGCAGGAAGGAGATAAGGGGAAATCACTTCTAAAATCTTGACAATAAAAATTGCAGAAAACTTGCCCAGTCCTCAGGAGTCAAAAAAAAAACTGACTCAAAAGCGCACACACACACACACACAAACAAACAAAAGTTTAACTAGCGGCTGTCTCCCCTCGCAGAGGAATGACTGAGTAAAAGGAAAATATCCAGTGCATAACCACAAGCCACAGTAATCCAAAACTAAATGTTGAAACCTTGGGCAAGGAAGTGTAAGCTAGACACACATTGAGGACAGAATCCAAACCAACAAATGTCAAAGCCAATACCTCTAACCATTAGACATTCCAGTTGTCCCTCAGGAAAGTACCTTGTCCTTCAGTGCAGTTCAGAATGATTTTGCTTAGCCATGCAGGCAAAGTAAGATCTGAATCACTGGTTCTCAACCTGTGGTCTGTGGGGTGCTGGGAAGCCACTATATCATCAGAGGAAGTCCACAAAGGCTTGAAGAAATTTTATTATTTAAATCTTGAGTTGAGTCTTAGCAGTCTATGGCCAAGGTCCATGGCCATAAGAGGGGATCTGTGATGAAGAAAAGGTTGAGAACCACTAATCTAGAACATTTAGGAAATGCTTTAATAAATAAATAGAGAGGAGGAGAAAGAACATAAAGGAGACTTCTGCTCAATCTGAATCTGTCC